AGACAAGGAAGGGTTTTGACTTTCTGTTTAATTATTTGTACTGCTTTGGTATGGGTATGTGTCCAAGGTGGATGATGCTTTTTTAATCTATCATGAAGAGGTTTAGCATCCATGGCAAGGTCTTGATAACAATCAATCACATAATTCAAATATCCTAAGAACCTTTGCAGTTCTTTTTTATCTAGAATTTGATCAAGAAATCTATCAGCAAATTGTATTGATCTATCTATAGGAATAATGGTGCCTTGATGAATATTGTGTCCTAGAAATCTAATAGTAGTTTTGAATAAAGTAATCTTTTTTACAGATACAACTAATCCAGCATGCTGGATTGCATGAATAAAGGTATTGATATGTTTAATATGTTCATCTATCGATTCTGAAAAGATAAGCACATCATCAATATAAACAATCATAAATGGATAGTATGCATTAAACACTTCATTCATTATTTTCTGGAATTCTGATGGACCATTTTTTAATCCAAATGGCATAACATTCCATTCATATTGACCAAATGGTACATTGAATGCTGTTTTATATTTATTTTCTTCTTTAATTTGAATTTGCCAGTATCCTGATTTCATATCAAATTCGGAGAATATGCAAGCATTGGCTACTCGGTCTAATAAATCTTTCTTATTATGAATTGGATATCTGACCTATTGTAGAACTTTGTTTAATAGTTTATAATTGATAACAAGTCTAGGAACTCCTCGTTCATTTTCAGCATTTTTATTGACATAGAAAGCTGCACAACTCCATGGTGATAAGCTTGGTTTAATAAGTTTTTTGTTTTGGAGTTCAGCAATTTCTTTTCTGCACATTTCAAGTAGTATAGTTTTCATTTGAATTGGCCTTGCTTTAGTAGGTATTTGTCTTTTATCAAATCCAGATTCATATGGAAGACTGATGCTATGTTTTTTTCTTTCCCAAAAGGCATTGGGGTGTTCACTACAGATAAAAGTTTCTATCTGTTGTTGAAGTTGTTTAATCTTTTGTTGTATCAAAGGATTTTGTAATTGTTCTTTGATATGTTTTTATTTAATTTCTTGTTTTAAAGTACAGAGAAATTTTTCTTTGTTTTGTAATTGACTTTTGACACTATTTATTTCTCTGAGTTTTGGTTTGTGAATAAATTCAAAGTGTATTGGGACATTTTCATACGTTGATGTTATTCCTGTATGATCTATGGATAAGGGATATAATAATGTAAAGAATGGGACTCCAAGAATAACTGCTTGACTAAGACCTTTTATCATGATAAAAGGTGTTTGGATACACTGGTGATTATTACACAAAGAAGCATTATATAACTTATAATTGATAAAAAGTCTACCACCATCTGCAGTATTTAATATTTGAGTTGTTTTATCAAAATATTTTGTTGGTAGAAGTCCTTCATTGATACAATTTAAATCAGCTCCTGAATCTATTAAAGCTGATGTTTGAAATCGATAATCTTCTGCTATTATAATCGTTACTTGAACAAACCATTTTTGGATCATAATTTTGGCCAAAAGGTTAACAGAAGTAGGTTGTTCTGTTATTAACAGATCTTTTTTCTTCGGGATCTGTAATTTTCTCTATGAGATCTAAAATCAGATTATCTTCTTGGGTTAGAGTATGAAGATTGTGTGAGGGGATTGGACAAGCACAGGTAGATTCTTGCATTGGATGAGATGATTCTGTATCAGAAGAAGAATCTGAAGAATCATCATCGTTGAGTGATCTGGTAGAATCTGTATTTGAGGACGATGAATCATAGTTGATAATTTGATATAACTGTGATTTTAATGACTCATCTAATTGTAAAGCATCTATTTTTTTTTTTACTTTACATTGATGTTTATAGTGTCCAAGTTTCCACATTTATAACAGACTGGTATTTTCTTTTTATTTTTACTATTGGGAGAAAACTTTTTTATGAATTTCTGATGTTTAGATTTCTTATATTTTTTATGTACTTTATCCTTTTTATATTTTTTCTTTTTCTTTTATAATTTTTCAAGTTTATTTTTTCTATCTATATGATAACCAAACTGTTCACAAAAATCACCAAGCTCTTTACGCTTAGTAATTTGTTGTTTATCAAGTTGTCTTTTTAGCTTGAGGTCAGTACATAATGCTAATCTTTCAGCACAAATTTCTGTTGATAATTCTCCAAGTGTATATGCAGAATATATGATAACTCCATTATGTTTCTTTCTAAGTCTTTTTTTGATTTTTTATGCGAATAAGTAAGGAAGGCCAGCTATGAATTTTTCCTTCCAGTGATCAAGTTGACAATCTTCTCTTATTAATAGTCGTAAAAAGAATACATCTTTATTGTGTCTAAGGTGGAGGATGCTTTTTTAATCTATCATGTAGAGGTTTAACATCCATGGCAAGGTCTTGATAAAAATCAATCACATAATTCAAACATCCTAAGAACCTTTGCAATTCTTTTTTATTCTACAGGAAATCTATCAGCAAATTGTATTGATCTTTCTATAGGAATAATGGTGTCTTGATGAATATTGTGTCCAAGAAATCTAATAGTAGTTTTGAATAAAGTAATCTTTTTTGCAGATACAACTAATCCAGCATGTTGGATTGCATGAATAAAGGTATTGATATGTTTAATATGTTTATCAATCGATTCTGAAAAGATAAGCACATCATCAATATAAACAATCATAGATGGATAGTAAGCATTAAACACTTCATTCATTATTTTCTGGAATTCTGATGGAGCATTTTTTAATCCAAATGGCATAACATTCCATTCATATTGACCAAATGGTACATTGAATGCTGTTTTATATTTATCTTCTTCTTTAATTTAAATTTGCCAGTATCCTGACTTCATATCAAATTTGGAGAATATGCAAGCATTGGCTACTCGGTCTAATAAATCTTTTTTATAAGGAATTGGATATCTGATCCATTGTAGAACTTTGTTTAATGGTTTATAATTGATAACAAGTCTAGGAACTCCTCGTTCATTTTCAGCATTTTTATTGACATAGAAAGCTGCACAACTCCATGTGATAAGCTTGGTCTAATAAGTTTTTTATTTTGGAGTTCAGCAATTCCTTTTCTGCACATTTCAAGTAGTATAGTTTTCATTTGAATTGGCCTTGCTTTAGTAGGTATTTGTCTTTCATCAAATCCAGGTTCATATGGTAGACTGATGCTATGTTTTTTCCTTTCCCAAAAGGCATTGGGGTGTTCACTACAGATAGAAGTTTCTATCTGCTGTTGAAGTCGTTTAATCTTTTGTTGTATCAAAGGATTTTGTAATTGTTTTTCGATATGTTTATATTTAATTTCTTCTTTTAGAGTACAGAGAAATTTTTCTTTGTTTTGTAATTGACTTTTGACACTATTTATTTATTTGAGTTTTGGTTTGTGAATAAATTCAAAGTGTATTGGGACATTCTCATACGTTGATGTTTTCATGTATGATCTAGGGATAAGGGATATAATAATGTAAGGAATGGGACTCCAAGAATAACTGCTTGATTAAGACCTTTTATCATGATAAAAGGTGTTTGGATACACTGGTGATTATTACACACATAAGCATTAGATAACTTATAATTGATAAAAAGTCTACTACCATCTGCAGTATTTAAGATTTGAGTTGTTTTATTAAAATATTTGTTGGTACAAGTCCTTCATTGATACAGTTTAAATCAGCTCCTGAATCTATTAAAGCTGATGTTTGAAATCGATAACAAAACGGACCGGGATCTACAGTGAATGTTTTAGAGTAGGTATGTGAACAGTTAACTATTGTATTTTACTATTTCCTGTAAAATTCGATAATAATTGAGAAAAAAGAGGAGTATGCAGATAAACGGAAAGA